GTTATGTGTGGTTCATGCTCAGGCTCAGACTGATATTTCACCTCTTCCCCCTTTGTCTCTGTAATAAACAGAACCTAAAACTGGCCAAACAGTTTTAGGCTGAAAAGAAACAAATAGCTAACTGTATGTGGGTGCATGTGCCTACAACCATGTATTTTTTATTACGACTGTGTGTGTGTGTGTGTGTGTGTGTGTGTGTGTGTAATGCACAGAAAAGATAAATGAGAAATGGAAAAAAATTAAACTGAAAACACCCCAGGATTAGATTTAAAATCAGTTTTAAAACAATCAATCAAGCCAAGTGGTGGTGGCACATGCCTTTGATCACAGCACTCAATGAGCAGAGGCAGGCAGATCTCTGTGAGTTTGAGGCCAGCCTGCTCTACAGAGTGAGTTGCAGGACAGCCAGGACTGCTTCACAGGGAAATCCTGTCTGAGAAAAAAAAATCACTCAAACAAACATATCAGAATCCTCAGGTGATTATGAGGTATACCTGTGTTTGAACCAGGGACTAAATGGTCATAGGCATCCTCTATCAATTTGAAATTGCTTGACTGTTGATCTGGGACTCAGCTGAGGCTCCAGTCCATTATTCAGGGGAATGGTGAGGGGCCCCAGGTGCAGTATCCTTTTGACATTATACTTATTGTTCTTTGTGACTCTCTAGAGAAGATGGCCAGTGTCTTCCTAATGCAAAAGAAGACATGGGAAAAGAATGCAATTATGTGTGCTCTATTGACTCTATGGTGCAGAGATATGTTAACACACGTCTCCTGACATGGTACATATATGTGTCTCTGTCTCTCTCTGTGTGTATGTGTGTGTGTGTGTGTGTGTGTGTGTGTGTGTGTGTGTGTGTGTTGTATCACCCATGCTTATTCCTTGCACAGCTGTAGAGGCCTCACCTCAACTTGCTGTAGTTTCATTCATGCAGTTGTGTGAATGGGAAGACTAGGATAACAAAAGGAGACTATACTCAGAGGGGATAAGGAAGAGCAAAGAAAACCCAAAAGAGCTGACAGGACAGCTAAACAGCGGGAACAAGGAGCGAGGAGATGCAGAGGATGGGGAAGTGCTCCTGAGCATGGGCAGTGTGGGTCAGCAGACACAGAGCACATGGGTGCATGCTGGGCTTGCTGAGCTCAGGACCTAGGAACCACAGGGTACTTTAATCAAGGGGAGAAATTTAAACGTTTATGCTCTCTAGTTTAGGTCCTCCAGACTACAACTCTCATGGAGGTAAGTGAATGGGACAAGACTTAGACATAATATGACACCCCAGGTGTTGAAACATCCAGTGTCTGACCCACATATCATCTCTTGAAAAACCTAGAAAAGGTGTGTCCCTTGGGCAAGTGTGAAAATGCTCTCCAGAAAGAGAAGAGTCTGCCAAGTTCCCAGAACCCAGCTTCTGAATCAAACTGCATGACCTCCTGCTGTCTCCCAATCATTCTCTCTCCAACCAACCTTTTGTACACTCAGTTGCTCTTCCTCAGCATCCATTGAGACTATTAGGGAGCAGTATTATGAATCCTGAGAATTTTCCTATGCTTAAATGTAATAAACATGATTTTGGCTTATCAAAGGAACATCTATTAAAAATATCAGAGGTATTTCACCAAATATCAAGTGAATGAACCCAAACCCATCCCGAGCATCATAATTCAAAATGAAAAACAGCAGCTGTCAGGTAAAAAGGCAGCATCAGTCACCATTACTATCCCAGGATGTGGAGAATGAAATAACCTTCATCTTTACACAGATCCCTTGCAGGGTTTATGTGCACAACTTTCTTTCCTGCCTGCCAGTAGACTTCTGTTAGTTGATGCTACTATCCCAAGCCTTCTTGAGGACACTGAAGGGATATCCTTTCCAATCTGTCAACAAATTACACTGGAAGACTTTGGGATTCAGGGAATTTTACTGAATATAATTTATTTGAGGGGAAATATCACTTATAACA